ACTAAACTATCCAAACCCACCTGTACTTGCTGATATACCTGAGGCACAGGAAGACCTACAGATAAGCCTGGAGCCTTTTTCAGAGGCAGAGGTTAGGGAGGCGATTAAAGCTCAAAAGGTTAACAGAGCACCTGGGTGTGCTGGAAACTGCCCAGAAATGCTGAAAGTGGAAGAAACTGAAACGCCAGAACTATTATGCAAGATTTTTCAAGAAATCTGGAACAAAGAAGAAATCCCACAGGAGTGGAAAAATTGTACCATTATAAAATTACCAAAGAAAGGAGATCTAGAAAACTATAACAACTGGAGAGGTCTCACATTAATATCAGTAACTAGTAAAATCTTTAGCCGGATCATTCTTAAAAGAATGACTCAAGCACTTGATAGTATAATAAGGCAAGAGCAAGCAGGATTCAGAAAGGAGAAATCATGTATTGATCACATCTTCACACGCTGCGTCAGATAATTAATTGAACAAGTAACGAATGGAATAGTGCAGTTTATATGACCTTTGTGGATTTTGAAAAAGCCTTTGATAGCCTGCATAGGAAATCACTATGGAAGATTTTGCATCACTATGGTGTATCACAGAAAATAGTAAATTTGATCAATGCTGATGAAGGAAGTTACACGATATAGAAAAAGATGCATCAGGTGGTCACTCACCTCTGTTTTAGATGATTTGAACTATGCAGATGACATCTGCCTTATATCAAGCCGTCATGTGGTCGCTCAGGAAATGACTGTAAGACTTTCAACAACAGCCCTTAAGATAGGACTCAAAATAAACACCAGTAAAACTAATGTAATGAGAAATAATTACACAACAGAAAATCCAGTTATCTTAAATGATGAAGCAATAGAGGAAGTTGAAGAATTTATATACCTCGGAAATAAAGTTACTCCAGATGGAAATTCTGAAAAGGATGTAGCATCATGAATAAACAAAGCAAACCAAGCATGTGCCATGCTTAACAATATATGGAAGTCAAAGGGATTTAGTTTAAAGACAAAAATCATAATATACAAGAGAAACATTTTAGGAATAATGTTATACAACAGTGAATGTTGGAAAATAACATTGGGAATTACACATAAACTTTTCAAAATAAATGTTCAAGGAGAATTCTAGGAAAACTTTGGCTAAACAAGAGCACAAATGAAGAAGTGAGGAGGAAAACAAAATGTGCATCACTGGCAAATGTTATCAAAGTAAGACAATGGAGATGGCTTAGACATGTTTGCAGAATGCCTTGTGACACTCTAGCAAAAACAGCTCTGCGGTGGACAGCAGATTGGAAAAAGAGACCTGGACGACCTAAGAAAACCTGGAGAAGGACAGTAGAAAAGGAAATGAAGGAATGTAAACTGACATGGGATACCATGGGCAGAAAAGCAGCAGACTGGCAGTAGTAGAGATCACTTGTAAATGCCTTATGTGTCAACAGTGACATGATATTGATATACAGATATAACATGTTATGTCCTAGTTGTGTGACCTAACCTGTTATGCCCTGTTTGTGAGCTAATACGTTATGCCCTAGTTGTGACCTAACCTGTTGTGCCCTAGTTGTTGCCTAATCTGTTGTGACCTAACCTGTCATGTCCTAGTTGTTACCCAACATGTTATGTCCTAGTTGTTCCCTAACCTGTTTTGTCCTAGTTGTGACCTAACCTGTTGTGACATAACACATGATGCCCTAGTTGTGACCTAACCTGTCATTTCCTGGTTGTGACCTAGCCTGTTATGTCCTAGTTGTGACCTAGCCTGTTATGTCCTAGTTGTTACCTAGCCTGTTATGACCTAGTTGTTACCTAGCCTGTTATGTCCTAGTTGTTACCTAGCCTGTTATGTCCTAGTTGTTACCTAGCCTGTTATGACCTAGTTGTTACCTAGCCTGTTATGTCCTAGTTGTTACCTAGCCTGTTATGTCCTAGTTGTTACCTAACCTGTTATCCCCTAGCCTGTTGTGTCCTTGTTGTGACCTAACCCGTTATGCCCGAGTTGTGACCTAACTTGTTATGTTCTAATTGTGACCTAACATGTTATGTCTAGTGTTGTTTGTGGCCTAATAATGCTGCTTCTCACTGATGCATGTCGGAAGTGGGGTGTCAATACTTTATCTGTCACCGTGACATTACAGTATTAATCTGTACAGTGTGTCACATGCTTAACATTCCTGGCATCCTTAACAACAATACTGACAACTTACAAGACAGTGGTAGGTTACAGTAATTTATATCGCACTTTTAAGGTTTTTATTTGAAGCCCCGTCATATATCTAGCAGCACAGTTGTTACAACCAGGATAAACATCCAAGTATTGGACATTCATTACAACCTAACTTCTTTGCAGATGACACCTGATTGTTTTATTGACTTGTAGTTCACCAGGGTACACTGTAAATATAATTGAAGCATTTATTTGTATAAATAGAGGACCATTGGCCAGTCTGTCGGTCACTGGATGATTATTCAGATGGCTGTGATGCTGAGAAAGCATTTCTAGCCCTTTATGTGCAGCTAAGTAATTTATGCCAATATCTTCCATACTTTGTGTGTATATGTTTACCAGGAATAAACTTGTGTATTGTTATCCCTCATTAGACTGTCTTCTTAATGCTGGGTTTGTTGGTTTCGACATTGTTATGGAGAAGCCAACTGTCCAGAAATCAGTAGAAAAACCACAACAGCCAAAAAAAAAATTGCTGGGGCTGGTTCTGCAGTGTCCTGTAAAGGATATGCTGCTAACTTAACATAAAACTATAGTTTCTATACAATTTACTTGAAGCCCTCTCATATAACCAGCAGGGGTTACTGTGATTTCTATCACTTTTAAGGATTTCATTTGAAGCCTTTTTCATTTGTTGTAATTGTAACAGATTGAAAGGATACTGAGAAAGGAGAACACAGGGTTGCTTCGAGCAGAGTGGCAAGCTTTACTTGGAAGGTCATGTGTAGTGAGCATACTTTAGACCCCCCCCCCCCCCCCCCCCCAACTTTGGATTTTTTCTCCAGGCAATGCAGGTGTGGTGAGGAATAAACAGGCAGACAGAATGGCTAGATCTGCACCACTGGATGGTGAACTGATGGAGAGAATGATGCACCTGCCTGTGACCAGAGGGTCTGGCTGGCTAGCTACACTCAGAAGAAAAGCAAGACGGACACATAACCAGACTAGGACTAGCACCATTAGTATTGGTACTCTGCGCTGGCTGCTGAAGATGGGGACAGAGCACATATGAAAATGCCCCAAGTGTTGTGGCGTCAGTTCTCAACCTGACTCTCTACTTGTGAGTTTCTATGCAATTTCTCCACTTGATAATCCTTAGTAGTGATAAGCGCTGCCTTACCATGTGGGAACCGGGGTCCCATTATGAAGTAAGAAGGAATAGACCCACTGCTTTCCTTATAAGCAGGCTGCAGAAGGGGACTCAATAGGGAAGTTTCCTTTGAAAAAGGATTGCATCTGCCTGAGGAGAGGCAAGGAACCAACAGTCTGCATACAAATAACCCAGATCTCTAAAACAGATGTGCAGACAACACTAAATTTCTGGAACAAGACCCAAATCCTGAAATGGACACATAACCATGACTTTCTATTAGAGTTTACAGCTGGTGAATGCTAAGTATACTGTTACTATGTTAGCCCAACGTTTCAGGTTAACACAGACCAGCTATCAAAGCAGCTCTAACTGTTCTGTTCCCAGTCTGTTGGTAAACAAAAATGATCCTATATTTGGTTTGGTTAACTGATTCCTGTAATAGAGATGTCAAACCATGTTCTACAAATGGGATGTCTATCCATATTCTACAAACAGAACACTTAACCATATTCTACAAATAGGGTGTCAAACTATATTCTACAAACAGGATGTAAAACTGTCCTGCTACAAAAATTTCAATCCATTGTCTACAAATAGGATGTCAAACTATCTTCTACAAATAAGGTGTCATACCATATTCTAAAAGTAGTATGTCAAACAGTATTCTACAAATAGTATGTCAAACTGTATTCTACAAACAGGATGTCAAACCATATTCTACAAATAGGATGTTATACTGTGCCCTACTACAGGAATGTGCAAACCATATTATAGAAACAAGATTTCAAACCATCTTCTACAAATACAATGTCAAACCTGGTCAGTTTTAAGGGGGGGGGGGGATCTGATGCCATGCAGATTTAATCCCAAGACCATTGGGTCAGAAGAAAGGTGTCTAGTCACTACACTGCTGCAGCTGCTTAGGTGAGTGTGAGCGACATTTATTGTATGTTACAGGTGTCACTGGTTCTATATGTCTCTCTTCCAATTTTTTGTTTGTCAACACCATATCTCTCTCTCTCTCTCCTGTCTACCCTACCTCTCTCTCTCTCTCTCTGTTTTCTGTTTGTCTGTCTACCCCACTTATCCTGCCCCTCTTCTCTCTTCCCTCTCTGTGTGTGTTTTCTCTTTGTTTGCAGCTGACTGACTTTCTCACTCCTCTTATTATCGTTTGGTGAATGAAATAGCATGTCATGATAAAAATGTCCCATAATGAGTCACCAACTTTAGATTCACAACATACTGCAGGTTTCACTCAAGGTGCATTACAAATGAGACACACAATGAAAACATACTATTTATTCTTTAATGTTCACATTAAATTTGACAAATATTGATCACAAATATACAACAGATCAGAAAGAGAGAGAGAGAGAGAGAGAGAAAGAAAGAGGGGGGGGGGGGGGGGGGGGGTGAAGTCCTAGGAACCCATGTCATTCCTTAAAAAAAAAAAATTGCCACAGTGCAGGTTTGAACTGAACGCATGCTGTCAAGCATCCAAGCATCTAGCCATTGTACCATCACAGCTCCCAGGACATAAAGAGAATATTTTAAAATAGTAACCAAGACAAAAGGAAACAGTGTTGTCCAAGTTACCAGCCATACGTTCTGGCCTCCTGTCAGGGACCAACAGGAACACTGGACCCCAGGCTGTGGCTTTCCATGCTGTGAGAGTCAAGTAGCCATAGTGTAGACCAGCAGCTCTGGTATGTTTTCTGGCTGCGACACTGGTGTGTGCAAGGTGGTGGTCATGCAGGGAACCATTTGGCAGTTCCCTTGTAGATGCACCGCAGTGCGCAAACCTGGATGGAGGATCTGGATACCTGGATGCTGGTGGATCTGATGATGAAGAGAAGAATGAACCGTGTGCAGTCCGGCACACATGCCTAGCGGAGTCTGTGGGCGGGTATCTAAGAGAACTTCAGGTCTGATTGCTGAGTGGATGTGGGACAGATGCAGCTGTGAATGCAACTGTTGGGGTGTCTCAGTATTTTCTACTGGTGTGCATTCTTTAGATCTGTCTGTCTGAGTTTCTCTGTGTGACTGTGTATCCACCAGTATCTGGTGTTGATTGCCAGGCAGCATATCAGTCTGCTGCTCCATCTGGTCACACATGTCAACTGGGTGCATGTGTGGCAAGATCATACCCATTTTTGCATCTTCTGAAACAACCGACCCTATATTACAATTCTGAACCTGAAGTGCTGTTGCATCTTGAATTCCATGGGTTCTTTTAAGGTGTTTTTTCACTGAGGATCTCTTGGTGAACTGAGACCCACATATGTCACATTTATGAGGCTTGTCACCATTGTGCAGCTTCTCATGACTCCTCATATGTGAGGAACATGTAAAAGCTTTGTCACAAATACCACATTTATATTTCCTTTCCCGGTTCTCATCATGGACTTTCAGATGATCCCTTAAGTAACCTTTATGAGAGAAGCTCTGAAAGCAAACAGTACACTGAAATGGCTTTTCCCCTGTATGTTTTCTAACATGACCCTCCAGAGAAGACTTCTGCAGGAACCGGCGTATGCAGAAGGGACATTTAAAAGGCTCATTCCCGCCATGGATTTTCATGTGTGTATTCAGCTGATGTTTTTCTCTGTAGGTGCAGCCACAGAAGTTACAAGAAAATGGGCGTTCGCCGGTGTGTTTCATCAGATGGAGTTTCAGTTTGCAGGAGTGGGTGAAGGACAGGCCACAGTACTCACAAGAGAATCTGTCCTTTGGCTTGACACCTTCGTGGATTTGTTTGATGTGTTTTTTCATGCTGGACAACTGAGAGAAGTGGCTGCTGCACACATGGCAGCTGTAGGGTTTCTCTCCAGTGTGTTTCCTCTCGTGGTTTTTCAGTTGAGCTAGTTTCAGAAAAGCTGCTCCACACTTGGAGCAAATGTGTGGTCGTTCCCGGGTTTCCGAGTGGGTTTTCAAGTGACTTTTGAGGTAGTAGGATAACTTGAAACCCATGCCACAAATGTTGCAGGTGTGGGGTCTGCGATCCAGGTGGGTCTGCATGTGGTTACCCAGGGTTGTCTTTAACATGAACCGTCGGCCACATGTTGGACATTCATACTTCTTATCCCCAGTGTGTATGTTCTTGTGTGTGGTCAGCATGTTTTTTTCAGCAAAAGAAGAACCACAGATCTCACACATGAAGGGCTTGGTAGCGTTGTGTTTGCTCATTAGATGAAGCTTCAGCTTGGATGGGTAAGGAAAAGACAGGCCACACTTATCGCACCCACAGGTGACGCTCTTGTGTTTTTTTCTTCTATGGTGACAGTACTTACTGGAGCTTTTCAATTCCATACCATAGTCTCTGCAGGTGAGGTTCTCTTCTGTTGCTATGTTAGGTCCTGCTGAGTGTGAGATTCTGTGCTGGTCCAGAGCATTCTGGGACTCAAATAGGACCTGACACTCACCACAATGAGAGGTTAACAAATCAGGCTGTGTCTGCTTCATGTGCTGTGACAATTTGTGACTCGAAGTGACGAGTGTGTTACAGACACTACATTTAATCACCTGATCCACTGTATTTCTTGAATGACACTGAACCTCGCAGGACCTACCTAAACTCTGCCCATGAATTATACATTTTCTTAATTGCTTGTTATCTTTATTTTCAGAATTTTCATTGTTCCCTTGACATGCATGAGAAGTTTCTTGGTCTGATTTGAGGTCCATAAAGTTATCCATCTGCGAATAGTTCACAGCCACCTCTTCATTTTTACAGACCTGACTATCCTTGCTTTTGCTGACAGAGATATAATGCCCAACAGCACTCAACGAAGCCGGATCTGAACTAGCATGTTTGCCCGACTTCTGTCTGTCCTCACTATCAGACAATGTGGATTTAGTGGCTGTGGGATGTGGTACATCTGACTGACCACACATGACCATTTTATGAGTTGTGTGGATTTTCACATCTTGTGATTCACTGCTTTGTTCAGACACCACAGACTTTGCGTTAGGTTTTATGTTAGGTCTCTCTGGCAAAGTCTTGATTGAACCACTGTGTTTAGTCGGGCAATTATTTCGAAGTATTCGCAGAGTAGAAGATGAGATAGGTGATGTTGTTTCTCCTGAAGCAGCTTCTATACTATGATCTGTTTCTTTGAAGATGCCTAAATTTGTAGTTCTAGACCTCATTGATCTGTCACTCTTTGTTTCCATCTTACCTGTCTGTTGAGGCAGATTATCACCTGATGCTGAACCCTGTCTGCCTCTCTTCTCCCTGGTGCTGGTTTTCTTTTTTCTGACATCGCTTTTTTTCCTATTGACACTGCTTATCTTCCTAATGTTACCACTCTTTCCATTCACAATTTTCCTTTTCTTATTTTCTGCATGAGGCTTACGTCTCAAAACTTCTGCCTTGCCGCTAATCTCTTGACAAGTAACATCAACACACTTGTCTTTTCTGACTCTCTGTGCTTTCTCACAAATATCTAGTGCTGTTTCAAGTTCTAGATCAGAAACTCTTCGTAGATGTTTCCTCAGTGATTCACTGCAGACTCCATCTACAATCCTGTTTGTAACATACTTCTGGCGCTGCTCACGCAGCTCACAAAAATCTGCCAAGATTTGTAACTTGGAAACAAACTGGCTCAAATCCTCAAACCGTTTCTGCCTGAGAGAACAAAACCTGAAGCGGTCATACAATAAAATAAAGCCAGGCAGACAAAGGTCTTCTATGTTTTCAAACACACTGTCTAACAAGCTAAATTTGTCGTCTGCACATACAGAAAATGACTTCATGATGCCTCTAATTTTATCTCCATTAAAAAACATTAGTAGCGAAGCTACACTACTTTTAGAATGATTCTGTTCCTTATGCTCCAAGGAAAAGTGGTCCTTGAATCTCTGCTTCATGTGCTGCCAGTTCTTGTAAGAGGTAGAAGTCTGACTGTCAATACTTGACAAAGGAAGTGTGAACTCCATTGATGCCACCAGGTTTCTCTTCCAGTAATAATATCAGTAAACATAAGGTGCTCAAAGCCCCAATGTTTTTGCTTTCATTGTCGTTAAATATTGTCTGTTCAGCTCTCTGCATCACTGCTGTGTAAGTCAGAATACAACATTTTCATGACAGATGGTGCTTAGCAAGGACTATCATCACAGCACTCTGGACAGATCCACAGGTGCTCTAGTCTCCTCCTCAGTAGCTCCACAAGCTTAAAATAACTAATCACACCATTTCTGTGTTGATTAATCAAAAATCTTGTTCCCTCAGTAAAATGTTTGTGTCTGGCAGCTCCAAGTTACACACCGCACTCACCAACTTGAACAAGAATACTAAGTCAAGCCCACTGTCAAAGTAGTTAGACAATAGTTTCACAGTGCAGTGGCCAAGTATTTTTTTTTTATTTTACACTCGACAAATGAAATTCAGCTACCCTAACAAAGACCATTGCCACCTGTGGCTTGGGTTTTGCAAACATGTTGTACAATTCTGAAATGCCCCGTTTGATTTCCAGCTGCAGTTTGCAGCAGACTGTGCTGTATTATTTCAACTGTTTAGAACATTTAGGAAAACTACTGAATGTAAAAGTGCTTTGTCAAACCAAATAGTAAAATATTGTTGGAATTAACTTAGCAGAGATGAGAATCTAAGTCTCCAAGTGCAAGTGTTTTAATTCAAATTGACCTGCTTCCCAGTCTGAGACTGATTGACACATTACCTAAATCCATATTTGCCTTGAGAAAGATTACCTAAATCCATGTTTGCATTTAGAATGACTACCTAAATCCATGTTTGCCTTGAGAATAATTACCTAAATCCATATTTGCCTTGGGCATGGTTACCCAAATCTATGTTTTCCATGAATTACATTCCATATGCACTGTTTTTCAGCAGATGACGAGTGCAGCATTGCTGAATGTTCATTTACCACACTGAGTGTGAATTTATCCATAAAATCCCCGCTTATGCTGCTGGCTACTGCCACAAGTGATTGTAGAATCAATCAAGGAGACACCACCAACTAGTGGAAACTGTGTAGCAGTTCTTGAGCAGACGTTCCATCTTCTAGATGCAGACTTGGGAGTGGCAGCCATAACTAATTGCTGATGGTAACACTTTCTTCCAAGCACATCTTGAAGCTTTAAGGAAATAGCAAACAGGTTTTTTTAAATTATTTTTTTGTTCAAGCAGTACATTTGTTTAACAGCAAATTATTATTTCAAAAACAAAAATCAGAAAGTTATTTTTTAAACAAGAAATACATTTAAAGAGTATTTAAATATGAGTAGACAGGCTTCATTGCATGAATTTTGTACAGTAGTCTCTCTCTCTCTCTCTCTCTCTCTGCAGAGTGACTAGTCACTCCCTAGCTTCAGCAATGACCCTGAGAGATCTAGGTATCTGTACTAGTAAACCAAAGAGAGTCTGAAATTGAATCTACAACCTCTATAGCATTAGGTAAACAGCTTTGCCATTTAGGCATGGAGATTCTTAAACAGGGAATAAATACATCAGCCAAAATTGAACAATAATTACAACTAAAAACAAAATATATGTCTTCAAAGTTCAAATAAGAGACATTATAACCAACTTTGCATGGAACAGTCAGTTGAGGTACTCTGAGACGGCTGTTATGTTTGAGGACTGAGCACACATGGGGATACCCAGGGTTATTACAGCAGTTACATCAATCACATTATTAATAACATAAAATAATGACAAACAATAAAGCAGCAAATGTTTAAACAGTTGTTTGTGAAAGACAGCTACATGCCATATTTAAAGTAGGATTTACAGTTAGGCTGTTATTCTAACTAGCTTTTTTTGTTGTTGTGACTTTATATTGTTTTCTGTTTAATGTTTCTTATTTGTGTGTAAGTGTACACTGTGACAGCCTACAAATGAAGTCGTACAGCCTGAAAAAAAAAAGAAAACTATATTCAGAATATTTTTTATAAAGGGTTCCAATGCGTCTAGTACTACTAACTACTACTATCGATAACTTGATGACAAAAAGTTCAAAAACGTTTGAACAAAAGACTATCTAGCAGATTTTCATGTATAAATGCACCCGACTGTGCCACAAAATGACCGACAAATAACATCTAAATCAACTAAAACAAAAACAAAAAATGCTCCAAGTGGACATTCGTAGCCGCTGGAGAAGAATGAAGAAACTGACTCACACAAAGTAAGAAACAGCAAGTTCGGCTGTTAACGGTCTCTCTGCGATAGATCCGTCGCGGTTACTAGCTGAATCTCCTAGAGTCAGCATGCAATATGTGTCAGTTAGTGCCTAGATGTAAGTTGTTGGGTAGTGGATATGTTGTAGTTGTAGTGGTAGAAGGTATCGGCTGCGGTCAACGAACCGCTGTGTTAGTCAGCAGCAGGGCTGCTTATGGGATATTTTTGAAAAACCCAGCTATGCTAAACAAAAACCCAAGCAACACATATGCAAAGAACACAAAACAAAATAAAAACCCATATTGTTAAAAAGTATAAATTTTATAGTTACGAAACAAAACCTTTACCCACTTTTATATAATGAATTTTTTTTTTAAAACAACGATTTCAAAATTTGAACCTAAGGCGTCAAATAAAAACCCAGATCTGGTGGTAAAACCCATCATTGGCAGCCCTGGTCAGCAGCTTCCAGCTGACGACATACAGTGATCTCCCCTTGTTGCCGTTATAGCCATGTCAACCGGCTGCAGACAACCATCATCGACATTCTCAACAAGGTTTTTTTTTAATTCCTTGAAAAAGCACAATTGTAAAAGAAAATGCCGGTACTAACCAAAGAGTGTCTATTGCCGTAGCGCCGAAAGAAAAAAAAAGATACTTTTAAGAAAATGTGTTGATACCTTGCACCGTTGCGTGCAGACAGAAAAAAAGCTTTTCTCCTCAGCATCTAACTGTCTTCTCCACTATCCACATCCTCCTCTTTCGCTTCTCTTCTCCCCCCTAACTCATTTTCTCTTCTTCTTCTTCTTCTTCTTCTTCTTCTTCTTCTTCTTCTTCTTCTTCTTCTTCTTCTTCTTCTTCTGCATTTTCCGTTTGGCCAACACTCAGAGGCCAGACAAGGCGTACATACAATCAGATTACCACTGGCACTTTCAGAATTAGAGTTGTGCACTGGCTGCTGAAGGTATGAGCGGAGCGCTTATAATGTCGATTTGTAACTGAACCCAACTCATTTAAATTTCACTGTTAAGCTCTGATGTTTCTGCTTACTCATTATTTTCTGTGTTCAGAAATACCGTCTTTGTATTTTGTAATATTCGTACTAGGCAGAAGAAAAAATGTGCTGCAGATGACACTTATTGATTTTGTTGCAAACGTTGCACATACATATACTTTAAATGTAAACAGAAACATAGGGCAGAGGAAGGGATGCGGATAAATTTGCATCATAGTTCTGTCACTTAAAACACAGCGCACTGCTAACAGTTTGTTCAAATCAGCACCTTTTCTCTCTCTCTCTCTCTCTCTCTCTCTCTCTCTCTCTCTCTCTCTCTCTCTCTCTCTCTCTCTCTCTCTCTCTCTTCCTTCCTCCATTCCTCGCTCTGTCTGTCTGTCTGTCTGGTCTGTCTGTCTGTCTGGCCTGTCTGTCTGTCTGTCTGTCTGTCTGTCTGCCTGTCTGTCTGTCTGTCTGTCTGTCTGTCTGTCTGTCCTGTTCATGAACACTTACAAATTTTATCTATAATTGTTTCCAGAATGACTAATTCTCTTAGTCAACTCTCACGTGTCTCTTGACAGCGTCTTGCCATTCTGTTATGTTATTTTATCTATGTCGAGGTCACTCCACGTTGGGCATTCCCATACACAGGGCTGTCGTAACGCATAGACCCGCAAGGAACTTGTATGAGACCCCCACCAACATAGGGGCGCCATGCTAATTTGTGTTTGTCAAGTGAATTATCATAAATAAACATAAATTTGACGTATAAATCCCAGAAATTCAGTTCAACTGTCAGGTTGTAATAAGGCTCCCGACGAATGTTACAAAGTAATCTGAAGTCCCTCTGGGGTAGGGCTTTAATCTTTAAAAAAAAGTGATATATTTTGGGTCTTGTTAACTGATAAGATAAGTATGTTACCTACATATGTCCGTTCTTAGAAACCTCCTCCAACCTTATAGCCACATAGTACAGTTATATTGTGGCACCATAAAACAATTGCGACGTACCATGTAGTGGAGTTTTGATTAAGGTATATGGCAAACTTCGGCTCTGTGGCTAAGTAGATGCGAACGCTTCGTAATGCAGGGATGCCGGGTTCGATCCCAGCTGTGGGCCATGCGCCTTGTGTTGGTTTCGACAGATGTATCTTCTTCTTCTTCTTCTTGTTCACCGGCTGTGAATTCCGGCGGTGAGTCACGGTTGTTCGTCCAAAATGGACTTTTGGCTTTTACCTTCACCTGAGTTTTACATCCGTTTTACTGGCTTATTTGTTTGCAGTACTCGTTCCCCGCCTCTCCGGCAGATGTACTCCGACTTCGGAGGAAGACGTCAAGCCTATTTCAAGGTTGACTGTGGCCATTGTTTTGTGTGGGTCGAGATGTTGCCTCATTTGTGTGGTGTCCTCTTTGACCTTCAACAGGTGTGGTCCCCGGTATGTCGTCCTTAAGGCAGCTCTATGTAGAGTTTTCAGCCCTCAAGGGAAGGCAGGGGCAGATCATGGGCATTCCCCGCCATCCAAGGAGGCTTCCATAAATGCAGAGCCGACACATGATGCTCTGGTTCTGGGCTCACCCAAGGAATCGTCACGTCCTACCCATGACTGCTTAACCTCACAACTGTGTATTGAGCTTCCCGCGCTACAAGGCTGCGTCTCCGGAGATCAGCGGGGAGCAGCCCGCAGGTCTAGGACGTTTGTGGCCACACAAATAGGTACATTCTTTTTCATCTTACGTTAGACACCTTTAACGTTGTTTCAACTGTGCCCTTAGCACGACAGAATGGGGAAGCAAAATGCG